TATAGTAATAGTGCAGGCAGAACTGCATGAAAAAGAGATACTTGTTTCATGACTTAGGATATTAGATAGTCCCATTACAGCGTGGCTTTCTTTTCCCCCTTCTCTTCTATAGCAGTTTGCCAGTTAAGGAAAGTTGGTTGAGGCTAGATAATTTTAAAAGCTATATTGTTTAGCAATCCCTGTTGGCCGGTAAATTGGCTAAATAGAAATTGTTCTAATATTCCTCTGATAAAAGCATTGGATTATTATATTTAACAAAGAGAACTACGTTTAGAGCAAAAATAATTTTGATGGTAAATCAGAGTTTAAATAATGAAAACAATATTTAAATATTTAACTATTAGGTTTAATATCTCTTCCCAGAGGAGGTACCTAAAAGAGTTTTCGATGCAATACATGTGGAAATTTTGTTCTACTTAATAAAGATAGTGATGAAGAAAAGAAAATGCTTACAGCTAGCCTTGTTGACTTGGATAACTTGGAATTACATCTTTGGAAACTATAACTCAGTGGTTTTCTGAGGATGGGGCAGGGATTAATGTATGGTTTGGATTTTATTTTAGGTAATTCCTTAATTTTAATACTGTTCATCAACATAAGTGTATATTAGCATATTTTTCTCTCTTCCGTTAGATTGTGACCATATACATACATACACACAGCCTAGGTCTTTCTTTACCATTTCACAGGCTTGCCAGCCAGTATTCAAAACGTTGTGGGTGTGTGGGTAGTTGTATGCAAAATATATATTAAATATAGAATCTAAAAACTATTGCTATATGAAGTCCTAGAAATGGAAATCTGAAGGGTAGAGTTCTCGCGTTCTTCCTCACAGTTTTACAGCTGTTACATGAGAGTTCTCTGACTTCATCTTTTATGTTTAGCAAGGAAAATACAGCAATTGTATCACTCACTAAAATATTTTGTCTTTAGATTATAAAGGACACTTTATCAGTTGAATGAATTCTTCCCATTCAAACTTGCTATGCAAGTATGAAATATATTTGACATTTATTATATTACCAGATTCACCACTGTTAAAGATCTTTAAATTAGGAATCTTGTTCAGAAGTGTTTAAGTTAAATAAATTGGCCAAAATTAGTGTTGGCATTTGTCATTTTAAATCAAATTAGAAGTTAAAAAGAGTTCAGCATGGGGGTGCCTGGGTGGCTCAGTGGGCTAAAGCCTCTGCCTTTGGCTCAGGTCATGATCCCAGGGTCCTGGGATCAAGCCCCGCATCGGGCTCTCTGCTTAGCAGGGAGCCTGCTTCCTCCTCTCTCTCTGCCGGCCTCTCTGCCTACTTGTGATCTCTGTCAAATAAATAAATAAAATCTTAAAAAAAAAAAAAAAAGTTCAGCATGGAACACTTTAATGGCAATAGGTGGTTTTATAACTTTTCCAGATTTCATCCATAAACCTTTAAACAGCATATAAATTTAAACAAGCTTTAACAAAAGATCATTTTCTCTAATAATCTAAAAAGCATGTAAACAATCAAAAACCGCAAATAATCAGGTCGGAAGACTGTACTGGCTTTGATTTGTGGATATAGACCTTTGGAATGTTTTCATTGGAAATTATTGTGGGGGGCAGGGCTTTTCCTTTTTCCTCCCTCTAGCATAAACACATCTTAAAATGAGTGGTATGATTAAAAACAATTTCTAGTGAGTTTAACAGATTAGCTATTAGTGTGTCATTGAGACAAAAGGAGCAAAACAAGATAAAAAAAATCATTGATGACAAAATTTACTTTATTAGTAATGACTGTTATAGTTGCTGGGCTCATTATGTGGAACCTGACCAGTGCCACTGGTTGTATTTTGGGAGGAGAAAAGGAATTTCTGTTTAGGTGGTCTGCATCTGGGTGGTTTGCTCATATCCAGTGTTTTGAGGTACTTGTTTCACACTTCTGAACTTCAACCAAGAAGCTGTCTAAATTCCTTTCCTACCATCCTCCATTCTGACATTTTTGAAGTAATCTGCTGTCCTCCATTTCCGTGTCTTGCTTTGTAGGTTTTCCAGCCCTGGCCTCCTCCAGTGCTCAGGTCCTGCTGCGCAGCTTGCAGTTGGCAGGCGTGGAGTGTTGGTAGTGTGCTCAACATTAGGAGAATGCCGTATGCTCTACTGGGATATATAACCATCACCTCCTAACCCCTCATGTTCACAATCAGATGCATTCTGCCATCAAGTCTGATTTCCCTTCCTCACTGAGGCTTTTCTCACAGTTCTAGTCCCCCACCTGTGGCTCTGCTAATTCCTTCTAGATCGGATTCCCTACCCTCTTTGTCTTTGAGCTGAGAGCCAGAGAATCTTTTTTGTAAAACCTGTTAAGGTACACGCAGATGTGTCAGAAGGATGTTGAATAAGTGCCAGTGCACTTGGAGAAATAATATATTCTCTGTGGGTCAGCCATATGTAAATTTTACAGTTTTAAATATCGTACAATATTTATTGGAACACATCCATGCTCGTTTGTTTATGTATTACTGTATTGTCTTGCTGCTGAGATCATGTGGCCCTATTTACTCTCTGGCCCATTACAGAAAAAATGTGCCAGCCCCTATTCCAAATGAAGATTTGTTAAAACCAGAGTACACTGAGAGTTGTGCCCACGCGTCAAACGATCATCTAGATCAGGCCAGCATATATAGCCTCTTCAAACAAGAATAATACATTTTCTAAAGCCTAAGTTTTTTGTGTGTTCATAACCAGAGGCAAGAGATACACAGTGAACATTTTTCAGTAAGTCTTAAATTTGTCTTCTCTATGTTAGCATAGTACATTTTGTTTATAGCACTTGGAAATAAGGCATCAGGTAATTCACTTTCAATTTTTTGACACACCTGCGTTTTCTGACCTCTTTAATGCCAGAGAATTTGATAAAAGCTTTTTCTGTGGTTAAAACTGGAATCTTCTTTGTTAGCTCAATAGTAATTTCCCAAAATTTAACTTTGTAAGAGTATTAAAGGAGTGCTTCAACCATATTCTCTGCACCTCTTCCCGTGAAAAGATTTTCTTTTGTGACTGAGAAAAACAGTACTTCCTTCCCCGCTATTAAATCGTATTTATATTTAGAAAATTCAAAGTCCTGTTTTAACAGGTGTTTTAAGTTTTTCCTCATCACTTAACTAATAACAAAGGTTAAAATGCAACAGATGGTTAATAGAAAGAATGTATCCTCCTCTTGGGCCAGTATAAGTTTACCCTTGGGTAAAATCTCATCTGCAGCTCTACCTACTTATCCAGAATTTCAGTGACAAATCCCCAAATTCCAATAGCCATTCTAAAGGGAAGAATTGAAAAGAAGTGGGGTTGGAAGTAGTCAAGGAAACTAAAACCTATGGTGAACTACATGGAGAAACTTCTGTAATTACGGTTGAAAGTGATAAAAGCAGGTAGGGGGATCATGATAATAGTCCCAGTGTTAGTAATTGCGCCCTGAATCAGAGAGCTGACATGCAGTCCTAGCGTCAGTACAAAGTGAATGGTAGGGCTAAGGCTGTACTGGTGATGTATTCTAAAAAGGAAAGAGTTTTTAAGAAATTAGGCTAAATAAACACTACCCAAGAATCTCGCATTGTCATCCCAAATTAGGAGTGCATTCTTCCTTTGACCCAGCAATCCTGCTCTGGTGCTCTGTCCTACCGATAAAACTGCATGTATGAAATTACATGTTCGGGTTTCTTTGGTGCAGCAGTGTTTTTCACAGCAAAAGATTAGACATTATCCAATTATCCATCAGTGAAGGACTGAATCATAAAATCAGAAGGTGATTGAAAGGCCAGATGAAAACATGCCACATGACATACATTTTCAAAGTAGTATTGAAAATGCAGAGAAAGGAGATCCTAAAAGTTGGTATCAAGGGATAGTAAATGCGAAAGAATTGTACATTCCCAAATCTTACTATGTTATAAAACAGCACTTTTTTACTTTATTTTAATACGTGAAATATGTGTAAGGGTTTGCATCTATTGTTTTCCCATCTGACTTCTATTCCCGTACAAACTCAAGTATCTTATCTCATGAAAAGACCTACACTAATTGATTCTTAAACTTTGTTCTTTCATCTCCAAGGTAAAGAGGGGGTGGTATGGTGATTAGGACAAAAGTGAACTATAAAAATTTATTTCCACAGAGGAACAGCATTTCAAATGGTATTTAACAATTTTATCCTATAACTTGTTAGAAAGGATTCAAGAAGGTAAAAGGGGATAATTAGAAACTTGTTCTCTGATGAGGTTTGTGTGAATGACCACAATTTGAGACAAAGGCTCAGATCAACGCCAGGAATAGAGGAAAACAATTACAGCCCAGAACCTAGATTTCTGTCAGTAAGGTAGAATTTCATAACAGTTTAAATATGTGGAGCAAAGGTTTGTGAAGAGTCTAAACTAACATTGAATTTTGTGATCATTTTTGATAAACTATAATATTGCTTACTACATAAAATTGCTTACTATAATGTAATTATCTCTTACTATAGAGAATTTTATGGGAAAAAGAAATCTGCTTTCTAGACATTTCGTGGCTAGGTATTGGTATAATATACTAACTAAAGTAATAAATACCAAATGCATTTCTATGTAATTATTTACTATCCTCTATCTCTGGATTTCATTTTTAAATATTTGAAAACTAGATATCTTGTAAGTTATTTTTTTATTTGAACAATAATTAAAGCAAAAGTATGTCATTAACTTTTTGCAGGTTGCATTTTATAGTAATTATTCAATATTAGACTTCTCAAGTGTTTTTATATGAAGCTTCAGTATCATGCTCACGACGACTGCCTATGGTTGCAGTATTATTCCCATTTTTCAAATGTGTGGTGAAGGCCCAGAGAGTTTGTGACTTAGCTAGTCACACACATGATAGAAATATCACTCAAAATCTTCTGACTCCAGATTTCCTCACCCTAGCCTCATACTTGTTCTGTTTATTTGTGAGGCCATGATATTACCATGTCTGGTTGATAGCATGCTTTTTGTCTTTTCAGGATATGGCTTTAGTTGCTCCCGAGGCTCCTTCAGAGCAAGCGCGGAGAGTTTTTCAAACCTATGATCCAGAAGGTAAAAGATTTTATTATTTTATTATCAATGGCTGAGTGTTTTATATCTTTATATATTTGAAATGGATTGATACCTGAGTTTTATTCAAAAGCATTTTTGGATTATTGAATGGGTTGCATTTCTTCAAAATTTTAAATTAGAAGTGTGAAAATGGGAACAAATAAGGATGCTTAATGACTGTCAAATTCTCACATGGTGTAGGGTTTGCAGGTTTCTTGGGGTAACAAAGTTACGGTTACTGCATCTTGACTTCTGATAATCTGTGTTAAACAGGAAAATAGCACCTTCTAAACAAGCTTTTTGAAAAGTTATTCCTTTGTTATTCAAATTATTCTGTTATTCAAATTAATATTAAATAAGTCTTCCAGAATGCCTTCTTAAAAATTGAATAAAATTGACCAATATTCTATAAATTTTAGGTATACAAAGTGTTGCTTTGATAATTTATACATTGCAGAATGATAAGTATAGTAGCATTAGCTAACACCTCTGTCATGTCACATAATTATCATTTTTCTGTGGTGACAACAGTTAAGATCTAGTCTCTCAGCAACTTTGAAGTTTATAGTACAAAATATTGTACTGTATACAATATACACAATACAAAAATAATCGTTATGCTGTGCATTAGCTCTTCAGGACTTATCTACTAGTTGCGAGTAACATCTTAAACACCTCCCCTGCTAGCCTACCTCCCCAGCTCCTGGTAACCATCATTCCTCTCTACTTTTTAAAATTCAACCTTTTTTAGATTCCACATATAAGTGACAATGTACAGTATGTCTTTTTATCTGTCTGACTTATTTCACTTAGTGTAATACCCTCGAGGTCCATCTGTGTTTTTTCAGAAGGTAGGATTTCCTTCATTATCATGGCTAATCAATATAACATTGGATATATAGAGATATGAACCACATCATCTTTACCCATTGATGGACAGTAGCATTGTTTTCGTATCTTGTCTGTTGTAAATAATGCTGCAGTGACTGGGGTAGCTAGTGCAGGTACCTCTTCGAACTATTGGTTTCAATACCTTCAGATAATACCTACTAGTAGGATTTCTACATCGTATAGTAGTTCTGTTTTCAATTTTTTGAGGATTTTTTGAATATGTTTAATAGGTGTACCATTTTATATTTTCGTCAACAGTGTATACTTGCTCTTTTCTCCACATACTCATCAACATTTATCTTGTGTCCTTTGGATAAAAGCCATCCTAACAGGTGTGAAGTGATGCCTCATTCTAGTTCTGATTTGCACTCTCTTAATGATTAGTGATATTGAATATCATTTCACATGCCTTTGGCTATTTGTATATTGTCTTTAGAAAAATGTCTTTTCAGACCCATTGCCCTTTTTTAATTGTATTATTTGCTTTTTGCTGTTGAATTCTATGAATTCCTAGTGTGTTTGGGGTGTTATCAGAGGTTTGGGAAGATTTTCTCCCATTTTGTAGATTGCCTTTTCAGTTTGTTGTTTCCTTTGCTGTGCAGAGGCTCTTTAATTTAATATGACCCCACTTCTTTATCTTAGGGGTGTTTTGTTTGTTTTGGTGTCTTGTCTGAGAAATCATTGCCAAGACCAGTGATGAGGATCTTTTTTCCTGTGTTTTCTTAGAGTGGTTTTACAGTTCCAGGTCTTACATTTAAGTCTCTGATACATTTCAAGTGAATTTTTGTGAGTGTTGTAAGGGGTCCAGTTTCATTCCATTTCATAGCCATCTCGTGTAGATACCCAGTTTTTCCAACACCATTTCTTAAAGAGACAGTCCTTTCTTCAGTGTTATGTTTGACACATCCTTATCAAAAATTAGTTGACCATATATGAGTAGGGTTATAGCTGGGCTCTCTACTCCGCTAAACTGGTCTCTGTCCCTGTTTTTATGCCAGAACCATACTTTTATTATAGCTGTGTAATACAGGTTGAAAATCAGGTAGTATGACACCTTTGGCTTTATTTCTCTTTCTCAGGATTGCTTTGGCTATTCAGTCTTCTGTGGTTCCAAATAAATTTTTTCTATCTGTGAAAAATTTCTTTGGAATGTTGATAGGAATTGCATTGAATCTATAGATCACTTTGGGAACTATGGACATTTTCACAGTATTCTTCCAATCCAAGTATATCTTTGATGGTATCTTTCCATTACGTGTCATCTTTGATCTCTCATCAATGTCTGGTTTTGGTTGTATAGGTCTTACATCTCTTTGGTTAAACTTATTCCTGAATATTTCATTGTTCCAGTGCGATTGTAAAATGGGATTGCTTGCTTAATTTCTCTTCCAGATAGTTCATTGGTGTATAGAAATGCAGCTGGTATCAGTATATTGATTTTTGTATCCTGCATATATACTAAAACCATTTATTAGTTCTAACAGTGGTTTCAAGGAGTCTTTAGGGTTTTATAAATATAAGATCATGTCATCTGTATGAATGCCTTTTCTTTTTCTTACCCAGTTGCAAAGGCTAGGACTTTCAGTACTGTGTTAACAAGAAATGACAGGCATTCCTGTCTTCTTTTCTGATCTTAGAGGAAAGGAATTTTTTTTCCATCGTTGAGTATGATATTATAGGTTTGTCATCTGTACCCCTTATTACACTAAGGAACATCACTTCTATATAAAATTTTGAGTGTTTTTCTCATGAAAGAGTTTCAATTATGCCAAATGCTTTTTCTGCATATTAAGAATGATCATATTTTATTTCATTTTATTACTGTGACATATACCACACTTACTGATTTCTGTATGTCGAACCATCTTTGCATCCCTGGAATAAATCCTGCTTGATCATAGTGTATGATCTTTTTAATGTGCTGTTGGGTTTGGTTATTAATATTTTTATTGATAACTTTTTGCATCTGTATTCGTCAGGGATATTAACCTGTAGTTTTCTTGTAGTGCCCTAATCTGGCCTCAGTCTCAGAAAATACTGGTCTCATTAATATGGTTGAGGAGTGTACCTTCACCTTGAGTTTTTTTGGTACAGTTTGAGAGGAACTGGCATTAATTCTTTAAGCATTTGGTAGATTCACCAGTGAAAATATCTGTTTCTGCAGTTTTGTTTGTTAAGAGGTTTTGGGTTACTTTGTCAGTCTCCTCTTTGTTCCGGATCTGTTCGGATTATCTGTGTTTTCATGATTCTGTCTTGGTAGTTTATATATTTCTAGAAATTAATTCACTTCTTCTAGGTGGTCTAATTTGTTGGTGTATGATTGTTCATAGTATTCTGATAGTGTTTCTGTGGCATCAGTTGTAATGTTTCCTCTTTCATTTCTGATTTTGAGCCCTCTCTTTTCTTGGTGTATATAGCTAGAAGCTTGTCTAGTTTTTCAAAACCAAGTTGTTAGTTTCCTTGATCTTTCCTATTGGTTTTCTGGTCTCTATTTCATTTATTTCCATTTTGATCTTTGTTATTTCCTTATTTCTGCTGTGGCCTTAGTTTGTCTTTGTTTTCTAATTTCTTGAGGTATAATATGAAGTTATTTGAGATCTTTCTTATACTTCTCTTAAAACTGCTTTTGAGGGCACCTGGGTGGCTCAGTGGGTTAAAGCCTCTGCCTTCAGCTCAGGTCATGATCTCAGGGTCCTAGGATCGAGCCCCGCATCGGGCTCTGTGCTCTGCGGGGAGCCTGCTTCCCCCCTCTCTCTGCCTACCTCTCTGCCTACTTGTGATCTCTGTCTGTCAAATAAATAAACAAACTCTTGTGGGGCGGGGGGGACTGCTTTTGCAGCATCTCATAGGTCTTAATATGTTGTGCTTGCATTTTCATTTGACTGTATTCCTTGATTTTCCTTTTGAGTTCTTTGACCCATGGGTTGTTCCGGAGCATGTTGTTGAATAGCCATGTATTCCAGATTTTCCTTGTTACTGATTTCTAGTTTCATACCCTGGTGGTCAGAAAAGACCACTGGTATGATCTCAGCCTTCCTAAATTTGCTAAGACATTTGTTTGATCTATCACGTGATCTATCGTGGATGTTCATGCGCACTTAAGAATATGCCTTCTGCAATTGCAGGGTCATAGGGAAGTTCTATTTTTAATTTCTTGAGGAATCTTCACACTGTTCTCCAAAGTGGCTGCACCAACTTGCATTCCCACCAACAGTGCAAGAGGGTTCCCCTTTCTCCACATCCCCTCCAACACCTGTTGTTTCCTGTCTTGCTAATTTTGGCCATTCTAACTGGTGTAAGGTGATATCTCAATGTGGTTTTAATCTGAATCTCCCTGATGGCTAGTGATGATGAACATTTTTTCATGTGTCTGATAGCCATTCGTATGTCTTCGGTGGAGAAGTGCCTGTTCGTATCTTCTGCCCATTTTTTGATATGATTATCTGTTTTGTGTGTGTTGAGTTTGAGGACTCTTTATAGATCCTGGATATCAGTCTTTTGTCTGTACTGTCATTTGCAAATATCTTCTCCCATTCCGTGGGTTGCCTCTTTGTTTTCTTGACTGTTTCCTTTGCTGTGCAGAAGCTTTTGATTTTGATGAAGTCCCAAAAGTTTATTTTGGCTTTTGTTTCCTTTGCCTTTGGAGACATATCTTGAAAGAAGTTGCTGTGGCTGATACAGATGTAGTGAAAAGAAGGGCCATCTGTACCCCAATGTTTATAGCAGCAATGGCCACGGTTGCCAAACTGTGGAAGGAACCAAGATGCCCCTCAACGGACGAATGGATGAGGAAGATGTGGTCCATATACACTATGGAGTATTATGCCTCCATCAGAAAGGATGAATACCCAACTTTTGTAGCAACATGGACAGGACTGGAATGAGTTTATGCTGAGTGAAATAAGTCAAGCAGAGAGAGTCAATTATCATATGGTTTCACTTATTTGTGGAGCATAACAAATAGCATGGAGGACATGGGGAGTTAGGAGAAGGGAGTTGAGGGAAATTGGAAGGGGAGGTGAACAATGAGAGACTATGGACTCTGAAAAACAATCTGAAGGGTTTGAAGAGGTGGGGGGGAGGGAGGTTGGGGGAACCAGGTGGTGGGT